TTCCTTCCTTCCTTCCTTCCTTCCTTCCTTCCTTCCTTCCTTCCTTCCTTCCTCTCCCCCCACCCCCAATTTCCTGTGCAGGCTCAGTGGTGCTTCCCCCTTCCTTGGAGAGACCAAGCAGGAGACCCTGGCTAATATTACTGCAGTCAACTATGAATTTGATGAAGAATTCTTCAGCCACACCAGTGACCTGGCAAAGGATTTTATCCGGAAACTTCTGGTGAAAGATACACGGTACGTCCCGAGGGACTTGCCAGAAGTTGGCCAGTGTTGAGGATCCTGCGTCTAGCCCAGAAGGTGCCTAGATGATCACTGGCTCTCTGAAGAAGCTGGAAAACCTTTGTTGGCTTCAAAGATGCCTAAGAGGGGCTTATAGGAGAGGGGAGCGCTTATTTCAGGTCGGTGTAATTTGGCTTAGCTGCCACAGGGCACAGGGCTGAAGGGCTGTGCCTAATGAAGCACTGGGAGAACTTCAAAGAATGAACAAATTTGCATTTATGGGATGCCCTTCCAGCCCTCCTAATCTAATAATGAGTTTCCTGAGAGCACCTTTGTAGGTCTCAGACATGCCTCTTGGGGGTAAGCGTAGAAGGTGCATTTATCGGAATTCATTGTGGATAAAGTCCAAGGAGTTCCAGCACCACCTTGCGCTTCCTGGGCTCCCTCTGTTTAAGGACAGCGAGGCCACAGATGACTCTCATTTAAGATCTTTCCATAGATGGAATGGAGTGAGTGTGTCATCCCTGCATAATGCAGCTGAAACATACTTGTGACCAGCCGTTCCTTCCCATGAGGAGTGTTCACTGAGGTGTTTCTTCCTTTTTAGGAAACGACTTACAATCCAGGAAGCGCTCAGGCATCCCTGGATCACGGTAAGTCACGAAGAAGCGGCCTTTTCACAGTATACGGGAGAAGGACATCCACTTTCTGGGGAAGTTGGACAGAACTTTGTATGGCACTCCCTGTTCTGGCAGTTGAAGGCCCCACTCCACCCGGTTTTATGCTCAAATACCTGATGTTCGTAGCTCAGCAGCATGCTCGTCAATGAGATGCTCTCTGGACAGCCCTTCTGTTTATTGTCGTTCTCCCAATACAAATTCTGGCCAAACTTTTTCTCGGTTTCTCCTCAGAGAAAAGGAATAAAGTAAAATAATCAGGAATAGTTTTCCAAAAAAGACCACAAACATTTCTTCTCTTGGACATATGAGGAAAGGATTCCATGCGTGAGATACAATTTTCTGTCCTGGGACCCACTGAGGTGTCCGTCTCCCACTCTGCTGTTGGCATGGGAAAATGCAGTCGGTTACTTCAGCGTGGCTTGGCTGGGTCTCGTTGAATGCAAAGCCCTTCCACCCTGCCTTTCTCGAAATCAGTGGTAGCTTAAAAAAAAGGAAGGAAGGAAGGAAGGAAGGAAGGGAGGGAGGAAGGGAGGG